GGAAGCTGGGCAGACGAATGGAAGTTGTGCCAGGTCCCCAGAGCACTGGAAGCTGGAGGAGAAGCTGTGAGAATAAGCTGTGGTTCAGGTTTGACAACAAAGCTCAGAAGTAGAAGGACTGAGGTTTGCAGAGTGAGGGAAGGCGTGCAATTCCTGGGATCAGTGAGGTAGTGCACACATGTCCCTGACTAGGCGGCAGCATATGCCCACCCAACCTGCCCAATGAAATTCTAGATTTTCTTCATTTGCTCGTTTCTTTCATTGATTTTCACTGCTCATCCTGACTTCTAATTTTTTTAACTCATAGTTTACATAGGACTCAAAAAACTAAAAAGTGCCAAATGCTGACAGCGTGAGTCACCATGTGGGCCACCCCCTGGGTCCCCTGCCACAGAGGTGCACAAATGCAGATCTTTGAAGAATCAGAAGACCTTGCAAGAGACACTGACCATTTGAAGGAATCTCTAGAAATCCTCTGGAGTTGAGTTTACTGACCAGTGAGTTACTGAATGAACGACCTGAGGACAGTGGAGCTCCAGACCTCTTCCGAGGTGGGGGGACCCGTTCAGGTACAAAGCAGGCTGAGCTCCTGCACCGCCGAGCTGGCCCATTTACAAATGTGTGGGCCTCACAGGGCTGCAAGCAAGGAAAACACTGCTGTAGTGACCTTACCCGGAATGTCCAGATCCCCAAATCAGGAAGGAAGACATGTTAATTCCAACTTACATTTGCATGATTGTTTTTGGAAAAGAGAATTTGATTTTGAATTTTGTCTCATCACCTTTGCGGATTCCCAGGGACCTTCCCCATCTCGTAAGCCTGTGCACAATGTGAAGGCAGGGGTGATGGTGCCATGGGGGCAGCAATCAGCTGGGGCCAGGGGCAGGTCACCAGCCCCCTCAGAAAGGGCCGGTACGGCTCGTGATCCTGCAGGGCCGGGCATGGCTCTAATCGTCTCCTACTGCTGGCACTCAGGAAGCCAGCACTGTAACCTCCCAGCAGGCCCGCCTCTCAGCTGCACAAACAAAGCCAAATAAAAACTGCTGGCGGCCGCTTGTCCCACTGCAACAGATGTGGTTCCTCTGCACCATCTTGTCTGTTCTTAAGGGTTTTTCTTTTTATTACAAACAGACAGATGTAGCTTGTCCCTTCCATCTTGTTTACGATGCTGCAGGAGCACCTGTGGAAGCTGGGTCCCGCAGAAATCCTTGACTTCCGTTCAGATGGCTTGAGACTAAGCCAGCCGGCTCTGCAACCCCATCTGCACATGATTCTGGGTTCTTCTGTACACGTTTGCTCTAAGCCCAGAGAAACTTGAATCACCCAGAGTATAATCCCAGGCACCTTAGCATCACCACACCTCACGTGCACATGGTGTTTCCCATGTGTACGCATTCATCGACATGTGTAGAGGACCCACCGTGGACCACTTGGCCTTGAGATCAGTCTGTGAGCTGACTCTTGGTTCAGTCGGACTCCTCACTGCGCAGATCACTTCCCTTACCTGGCCTTGTATCCACTTAGTCCTAGGACCCTCTCATGGAGAGCAGGGTCCTGACCATCCCCTTGTTGACCATCCTGTCCTCGGAGAAAGTGGCCCATAAACCCATGTGAAAAACGGACATAGGGCAGGAAGAAGAGGGGATGCCATAAAGGCTACGTCCTGCTCTTAGCCTGACCCTGGGCGCCTGCGTAGAATTCCGCAGCCCATTAAAAGACCGTTTGCATAGCATCTCATTTCCTTAACACAGACAGTGCAAGAGCAATGAAACCTGTGGACTTTCTGTGACAACTGCCTTTTCTTTTTACCCTTATGTTTTCATGCCACTGCCTTTGCTGTGCAGCAAACCACCCCAAGACGCATGACTTAAATACAACCAGCGTGCATTGAGCTCATGCTTCTGTGGATTGGCTGAGTGGTTCTTCTGGTCCAGACTGGCTCAGCTCATCACCGCTCGGCTGGGTCCTGCATCTCTGATCGGCTGGTGAGTGGGCGGGTGTCTGGAAGATCTAAGGTGGCCTCGGTCATGTGGCTAGCAGGTGGCAGGCTATTGGCCAGGGTGACGAGGCTGACTGGGCCACATGGTGGTCATCATGCAGCCGCCTAACCCTGGCCTCATTACATGGTGGTCCGAGCAAGACAGTGAGGCCGGATGTGCTTCCCAAGTCTCAGTGTGGAGCATATCTCCCACTGTCCATTGGCTAAAGCAGGTCCCGTGGCCGAGAGCAGCCAGCATGGGAGGACCCACCTGAGAGCATGGACACCAGGAGGGGAGGAATTTGTGGCCATGTCTGCATGCACCACAGTGTTTTGTTTTTCTTTTTGCAATTTATAGCCTCTTTAATGGAATAACTCAATCGTTTACTTTCAACATTTAGTGTTTACAAATGAAGCATGCCTTCAGCTTGGGTTCCTTCTTTAATACATGAGGATTCAGAAAACTATTTTCAAATTGCAATCAGACTGAATTTTTTTCAGCCCAAAGTTTTCTTTTTTTTCTGCTTTGACTACATTATGGTCTGATAATTTGGGTTGAATGGTTTCTATTCTTTAGGTTTTTTTATTTTTTTATTTTTTTATTTTTTAAGATTTTATTTATTTATTTGAGAGAGAATGAGAGAGAGCGAGCACATGAGAGGGGGGAGGGTCAGAGGGAGAAGCAGACTCCCCACTGAGCAGGGAGCCCGATGCGGGACTCGATCCAGGGACTCCAGGATCATGACCTGAGCCGAAGGCAGTCGCTTAACCAACTGAGCCACCCAGGCACCCCTATTCTTTAGGTTTTTTAAAGTTGTCTGCTGTGTGTGTGTTTAATTCTTAATATCCCACAGACATGTGAAAGTGAGTAATTTTGGTTATTTGATACAAATATACAGATATAGTCACATACAGGTTTTGATTTAGACATGGAATCAACCTTGTTGGTAGTATTTTAAGTGTTTCTCTACTGTTATTATCTGCCTGATCTGCTAATTTCTTTTTTTTTAACATTTTTTTATTTATTTAAGAGAGAGAATGAGAGAGAGAGAGAGAGCATGAGAGGGGGGAGGGCCAGAGGGAGAAGCAGGCTCCCCGCCGAGCAGGGAGCCCGATGCGGGACTCGATCCTGGGACTCCAGGATCATGACCTGAGCCAAAGGCAGTCGCTTAACCGACTGAGCCACCCAGGAACCCCTGATCTGCTAATTTCTAAAAAGAAAATGCCATGTTATTGTCATGGAGTTTTACTTGATACATGTCTGCAATGTGTGGAATGAATTAAAAAGTCATTAATTATAGAAGAATTGTGTAATTCTTATACAATTATGGAGAAGTGAATTTGTTATCAGTACAAAACAACTTTCTTTTCCTGCTTCATGTTGGTTGCATAGAATTTCCTATCATATTAACATGGGCTAAGAATTGACAGAGCTGTAATAGCGAGTGAGCTGGTGAACTAACTCATTTATATGGTGAGTAGAAGTAAAAACTATTGTGTTCTTCCTGGAGTAAAATTTGTCTATATGTTTGAAAGTATAAAAATGCTCATCCCATTTTAAAATGGGAAATTTTATTGAGATAAATGTAGACTCACATTCAGTTGAGAGTAATAGAGAGGGATCCATGTGCCTCTTCCCTAGTTTCCACCAGTGGCAACATCTTGCAAACTAATATCACAACCAAGATATTGACATTGATACAATCCACTAATGCCATTCAGATACTCCCAGTTTTACCTGTGTTCATTTGAGTGTAGATGTGTATTTAGTTCTATACCATTTAATCACATGTATAGGTTTATATATCTATCCTCACAGTCAAGATACAGAACGATTCCATCAACACCAGAATCCCTCATTTTGCCCTTTTACAATCCTATTCTTTTCCCCCCAATCCCTGTTCCCCCATGCCGAACCCCTTGAAACTACTATGTTCTCCATTTATAAAATTTTGTCATCTCAAAAATGTTATATCAAAGAATCACATGGTGTGTGGCATTTGGAGATTAGATTTTTTTTCACTCAGAATAATTCCCTGAAGACCCATATAAGTCATTGCATGTATCAACAGTTCTCTTATTTGTATTGCGGAGTAATAGTCCATGTATATATGTACCACAATTTAACCATTCACTCACTGACAGACATCAGAGCTGTTTCTAGTTTGGGGCTATTATGAATAAAGCCACTCTGAGCATTGACCTACAGGTGCTTTTATGAATACAGTTTTTATTTCTCTGGGATAAATGTCCAAGAGTAGAGTTTTTTATTCATATGGTAATTTCATGTTTAGTTTTATAAGAAACTGCCAAACTGTTTTCAAGAGTGGGTATATCATCTTATATTCCTACCAACAATGTATTAGTAATCGAGTGCCTCAGCATGCTTGCCAGCATTTGGTAATGTCACTGTTTTTTATTTTCTCCATTCTGATCCATATGTAGTGATATCTCATTATGGTTTTAATTTGCATTCCCTGATGGCTCATAATGCTGAACATCTTTCATATGTGTGTTTGCCATCTGCATATCATCTTCATTGAAAAGTCTGTTTGTGCCTTTTGCCCATTTTCTAATTTGATTTTTTTTTCTACTGAGTTTTCAGTGTTCTTTATATATTCTAGATACTATTCCTTTGTGGGACATGCGATTTATAAATATCTCCTCCCAGTATGTTGCTTGTTTTCATCTTCTCCACTTAGACTTTCACAAAAGATAAATTTTTAGCTTTGATGAGGTTTAATTGATCTTTTTTTTTCTTTCTAGACTGTGCTTTTGGTGTCAAGTCTAAGAACTCTTTGATAGTCCTAGATGCCAAAGTGTTTTTCTTTCTGTTTTTCCTAAAGGTTTTATAATTTCATGTTTTTAATTGAAGTCCAGCAACCATTTTAAGTTAATTTTTTGTACAAGACATGAAGTTCAGGTTGAGGTTCATTTTCTTACTTATGGATGTCCCATCACTACAGCACCATTTGTTGAAAAGACTATCCTTCCTCCATTGAATTGTTTTTAGGGCTTTGTAAAAACTACGGAACACTTTATTAATTTGCATATCATCCTTATGCAGGGGCCATGTTAATCTTCTCTGAATCATTTCAAGTTTTTATTAGATACACTACTAAAGTGAGCACCGCTCATACCTTTAGACTCAGCTCCACTTCTGGAAATTCAGTTCTGAAGATAAAGAAGATGTGCCCAAGGCTATTTACTTCAGCTTTATTTATTTATTTATTTATTCATTCATTCATTCATTCATTCATTTATTTATTTATTTATTTTGAGAGAGAGAGAGAGAGCCTGCACATGAGCAGGAGGTTGGGAGGGGCAGAGGGAGAGGAAGAGAGAGAATCTTAAGCAGGCTCTATGCCCAGTGTGGAGCCCAATGCACTGCTTGATCTCACACCCTAAGATCATGACCTGAGCCAAAATCAAGAGTCAGATGTTTAACTGATTGAGCCATCCAGGCACCCCCTCAGCATTATTTTTAACAGCAAATAAAACTGTGGGGAGTTATCTATTGTTGTGTAACAAATTATCCCAAAATTTAGTGAATTAAGGCAACAACATTTATAATATCACAATGTTTGTGAGATCTGGTCATGGCTTTTCTGGGTTCCCTAAATGAGAGCTTCTCATAAGACTACTCTTAATGACAGCTGAGGTTGAGGTTTTCTTTGAAGGCTCAACCAGAGAAGGATCCATGTCCAAGCTCTCTGATATGGTTTTTGGGAAGATTCGGTTCTTTGCAACCTCTTGCAAATGGGGCTTCACTTTCTCTTTGGCTGTTGCTAAAAGCCTACCCTCAGTTTATTGCCATATGGGCCTCTCTGTAGTGCAGCTTACTTCATTATAACAAGCAAGCAGAGGAAGTGCAAAAGAGTTCTAGGAATTCTTTGTAAACTAATCATAAAAGTGATTTCCCATTAATTTTGCTGTATTTTATTCATTCAAAGCAACTTGCTAAGTCCAGCTTACACTCAAGAGTAGGGGATTACATAAAAGTGTGATACCAGGAGGGAGAGATTTGGAGGATTTATATAAGAAGTTGCCCACACAATAAGTAAATTATTATACACTCAGTCAGTTAAAAATCATACATCCAATGATTTTGCTACACTAATTACTTGGAGTATGGCATTGCTGTCATGGTTGACAAGGGCCTCAGTGACAGCCACATGTAAAAACTATGAAACTGGACCACTATCTTACACCATACACAAAAATTAACTCAAAATGGATTGAAGACTTTAATGTAAGACTAGAAACAATAAAAATCCTAGAAGAAAAAAAAAGCAATAAACTCCTTGGCATCACTTCTGGAGATGTTCTTTTGGTTCCTACTCCAAAGGCAATGACAACAAAAGCAAAGAAAAACAAATAGGACTACATCAAAGTAAGAAACTGTATACAACAAGTAAATCATCAACAAAATAAAGGGAGAAGGTATTTGCAAATCATACATATAATAAGAAGTTAATATCTAAAATATTTAAAGAAATCATATAGCTCAATAACAAAACAAAACAAACAAGCAAAAAACAATCCAATTAAAAAATAGGTAGAGGACCTGAATAGACATTTTTCCAGAGAAAGCATACAGATGACCAACAGGCACATGAAAAGATGCTCAACTCATTAATCATCAGGAAAATGCAAATCAAAACCACATCTCACACCTGTCAGAATGGTTATTATCAAAAGGATAAGAAACTGCAAGTGTTGGCAAAGAGGTGGAGAAAAGAGAATCTTCATGCAGTATTGGTGGGAGTGGAAAATGATGTAGCCCCAGTGGAAAACAGTATGGAGATTTCTCAAAAACTAAAAATAAAACTATCATATGATCCATCAATATACTTCTGGGTATATATCTGAAGAAAATGAATACACTAATTGAAAAGATATATGTACCCTTATGCTTATTGAAGCATTATTTACAATAGCCAAGATGTAGAAACAACCCAAGTGTCCATTAATGGATGAACAGATAAAGAAAATCTGAGATAGATACACATATAGGTACAATGAAATACTACTCAGCCATAAAAAAGAATGAAATCTTGCCATTTGAGACAACATGGATGGACCTTGAGAATAAGTGAAATAAGTGAATGCTATGCTAAGTGAAATAAGTCTGACAGAGAAAGATAAATACCATATGAATTCACTTACAGATGGAATCAGAAAACAAAACAAAAAATGAATAAACTAAACAAAGTAAAACTTATGGATACAGAGATTAGATTTGTGGTTGCCAGATGGGAGAGAGTGGGGGTGGTGAAATGAGTGAAGGCAATCAAAAGGTAAAACTTCTGGTTATAAAATAAATAAGTCAAGGGGATATAATGTGCAGCATGGTGAAAATAGTCAATAATATTGTATTGCAAATTTGAAAGTTACTAAGAAAATCTTAAAAGTTCTCATCACAAGAAAAAAAAAAAACCCTGTAACTTGTATAGTGATAGATGGTAACTAGACTTATAGTGGTGATGATTTTACAAAGTATACAAATGTTGAATCATGATGTTGTATACCTGAAACTAACATTATATGTCAATTATACTTCAATTAAAAAATGAAACCCTATATTATGCTGAGCGAAATAAGTCAATCAGAGAAAGACATGTATCATATGACCTCACTGATATGAGGAATTCTTAATCACAGGAAACAAACTGAGGGTTGCTGGAGTGGGGGGTGGGGTAGGAGGGATGGGCTGACTGGGTGATAGACACTGGGGAGGGTATGTGCTCTGGTAAGCGCTGTGAATTGTGCAAGACGGTTGAATCTCAGATCTGTACCTATGAAACAAATAATGCAATATATGTTAAGAAAAAAAAAAAGAAGAAGATAGCAGGAGGGGAAGAATGAAGGGGGGAAATCGGAGGAGTAGACAAACCATGAGAGATGATGGACTCTGAAAAACAAACTGAGGGTTCTGGGGGGGGAGGATGGGCTAGCCTCGTGATGGGTATTAAAGAGGGCACGTTCTGCATGGAGCACTGGGTGTTATGCACAAACAATGAATCATGGAACACTACATCTAAAACTAATGATGTAATGTATGGGGATTAACATAACAATAAAAAACTTTTAAAAAATGAAACCCTAAAAATTCTCAATTAATCCAAAAGTGGAAAAAAATGAACAATTAGCAAATTAAAAAATACATTGGTAGACTTAAACCCAACATCAATAATACCACTAAATATAATTAATGTTAGAGTAAAATATTGAGGGCAAACTATATGCTGCCTATAAGAAACACTGTTTAACATGACACAGAAAAGTTAAAAGGAAAAGTGAGAAAAGATATGTAAATAATAAGAATGAGAAAGATGATGCAACTATATTATAATCAGATAAAGATTTCAAAATAAAAAATATTCCTAAAGATAAAGACATCTATTAGATAAAGGGTCAATTCATGAAAAAGATACCCTGAATGAATGTACACATAACAACATATTTTTAAAATACATGAAACATAAATTTACAAAACTAGTGGGAGAAATAGACAAATTTAGAAATATAACTGAAGACTTTTATTCTCTCTCAGTGGTTAATAGAACAAGTAAACAAACAAAAACTATAAGGAAAATTAATATCTAGATATGATCAACCAATTTAACCTGAACTGTATAAAACACTACATCAAATAGCAAAATGTATATTCATTTCAAGTACACATGGAACATTCACCAAGATAGACCATTTGTTGATTTAAAAAGACTCAGTAAATACTATACATTGAAATCATAGTGTATTTTCCCTGAGTATAATAGAATTAAATTATTAGAATTAAATTAGAAATTAACAAATATACATATGTTTTTTAAGTCCATGGTGTTTAGAAATAAAACAAAATCTTCTAAATATGTCATGGATCTATTCCCAAAAAAAAAAGAGGAAGGAAAACTTCCAAATTCATTCTATGAGGCCAGCATTACTCTGATACCAAAACCAGACAAAGATACTACATAAAAAGAAAATAAAAAACTACAAGCCAACATCCCTGATGAACATAGATTCAAAAGTCCTCAACAAAATACTAGCAAACTGAATTCAACGATACTTGAAAAGAATAATTCACCACAATTGAGTGGGATTTATTCCAGGAATGCAAATGGTTAATAGTCACAAATCAATTGATGTGATACAACACATTAACAAGAGGAAGAATTAAAAACCATATGATCATCACAATAGTTGCAGAAAAAGCATCTGACAAAGTCATCCATTCATGATAAAAACTCTCAACAAAGTAGGTTTAGAGGGAACATACCTCAATATAATAAAGACCATATATGAAAAACCCACAGCTAACATCATACTCAATGGTAAAAAACTGAGAGTTTTTACTCTAAGATCAGGAACAAGACAAGGATATCCATTCTTACCACTTTTATTTGACATAGTATTGGAAGTCAGTAATCAGACAAGAAAAAAAAAAGCATCCAAATTGGTAAGGAAGAAGTAAAACTTTCACTATTTGTGGATGACATGACATTTCCATAGTTCTGAATTAGCAGAAGGAGAAATTAGGAAAACAATCCCATTTAAAATTGCACCCCCCCCCAAAAAAAAACAAACTAAAAAACCTAGGAATAAATTTGACCAAGGAGGTAAAATACTCTGAAAACTATAAGGCATTGATGAAAGAAATTGAAGATGATGCAAACAAATGGAGATATATACCATGCTCGTGGATTGGAAGAATTAATATTGTTAAATTGTGACTTTATTTTACAGGAAATAATGTCCATATTACCCAAGGCAATCCCTATCAAAATACCAATAGCATTTTTCACAGGACTAGAACAAATAATCCTAAAATTTGTATGAAACCACACAAAAAACTCAAATATCCAAAGCAGTCTTGGGAAAGAAGAACACAGCTGGAGGTATCACAATCTCATATTTCAAGATATACTACAAAGCTACAGTAATCAAAACAATATGGTACTAGCACAAAAACAGACATAGATCAATGAAACAGAATAGAGAGCCCAGAAATAAACCCACACTAATATGGTCAATTAATCTACAACAGAGGAGGAAAGAATCTACAAGGGGAAAAAAAACAGTCTTTTCAATAAACGGTGTTGGGAAAATAGGACAACTACATGC